GGGGGCGCAGGGGGCGAGGGGGGGAGAAGAACTGAGGGGTGCAAAGAGCCCGAGAGAGATGCATTGGCTGGGGAAGGATCCCACGCCCCATACTCGCGACGAACCTCCTACACATTATCTATTCACCCCGCGCAGCGTCCCGCTGCCAAACTTACTCCCTACAACGTCAGGGGACGATGGTGCACTGGACTTGGGGATTTCCTCCTTTTCCATTTTTTCTAATAGGTAGCACTACTAACGAAGTGGCAAACAAGGGTAGTTGAATTGGTTAAACCCAAGGATCCCTGTCGTGGTGGGAAACCACGGGGGTGGGTGGGTGGAAAAGAAAAAACTCAAAAGTTGTGTGAGAACTTTGATTCTGCAAGTCCCAAAGATAAGGCGAAGGAGAAGAGCGAGGGAGAGTAGTAGAGGTAGAAATCATGTCATCAGCAAACGTCGGAGCCATTGTTCCTCATCCTCCTCGTATCATTCTTACTCTTTTCATCATTCCATTCTTTTCGTAAACTATCAAAAAAGTGGGCGCGAACGGGGGCGCAAAAAAGAGGCGAGCCGCTTTCCAAGGCGTCGCGCCGAGTTTTCCGAAGGAGGAACCGCTGCGAGGTGGAAACGGCATGTTCTTACTTTTTACTTTTTTTCTTTCCGGCAAACGGACCAAAAAATTGGCGCAGCGCATTGCTGCGCAAGAGGAATACGCCGCGCGTCAGGGTTGAACCAAGTGCGAGGCGCTGTGGCGACAAGTGCGCAACGGTCACTCGGCGTTTCAAAGCCCAACTCGCATCGAAACGACAGTAACAGAACAGGAAAAGGCAAAACCAAAAGAAGCAGAAACGGTTCAAAAAGAAAAGTATGTGCTGCCTGGTGACGGGTGCAATTGCTTTTCTGCTTCAGCCTGTGGCTTATACGTGATGTATACAAAAAACAACAACAAAGATCAGCTATTTCTTGGTAGAAGAAAACAAAACCGGAAAACAAAGAAGCAACGTTGGCATTAAAGCAAACTAGCTTAATACATACACGGAATCGTTCTTGACGGAAAGACAACGCAGGGAGTAGGAAATATATGTGAAAAGAATGAGAGGGGCAGACAAACAGAAGAAAAGAGAAACGCCGGTTTCTAACACGGCACGGCACCCCATCAAGAGAAAAGTATCAAAAAAAGCAACTTCTAGGTGAGAAAACAAGAACAACAGGAGCACCAACGTCGCCCATTGGAGCGCGGTGCTCAGAACTCGTTCGGCACCGCACCAGCTAAGGAAAGCGCTAAATTTGCACGATACGCCGAGGACGGAGAGAAGCGCTTGATGCGGTTGGCTTGTTGCTGCCGTGACAGTTCTTCCTGCAATCGCGAGGACGGATGGGTGAGCGGTGTCACATTCTCTGAGACATGGCTTGCGCTCGACCGGAAAAGGCTGCGCTGCCGCCACTGCGGCTCCGGCTCGCGGGGAATCGTAGTGGCGAGATTGGTCGGGGACATGTTCGGTGACTGGCTCGGCTGCGGTTGTGGCAGTTGTTGCACGTGCGACGCCTCGAAGGGCGCGTGCTCGTCACGGATGCTCGTGCTGCCGCTGCGCGGCATGCTAGACGCTGGACTCGCCCGATAGAGGTAGTTCTCCATTGCGGCGACGTCCTCATCGGTCTGGCGCGAGTTGGTGATCGCAGTCGGCGCGGACCGCCGCATTGGCGATGTGACCGAGCTGCCCGAGCGAAACGGAGCCAGAAGGTTTCGAAAGTGTCGGTGCCCGTCAGGTGCCGGCATTGCCATGATTAGCGGCGACGCCATCCGCGCCGTCGGCGGGCTGGCCTCGGTTTTCGTGACGGTCGGCACCAAACGCGGCCGCCCCTCGAGGAGGTTGACGCCCGTCTTCTCCGACAAGATCATCCGCTCCATTTCGCGCTGAACGGCGTAGTAGAGAAATAGGTACTGGTCCTTGCGGCGCACCATCCCACTCCGACACGCCTTCATGAAGCGCACAATACGCGGGATGCTAATGCTTGCCTGGCCGAGCTGGAACTGGGCGAGAGCGATGTGCATGCCGATAAAGACGCCGGTGCGGCCTACGCCACCGGAGCAGTGCACGACGATGGGCGACTGCGTGCTGCGCGGAGACTTGGCGATGGCCTGAATGATCTCCATCAGCGTTGCGCTGCTCTCCGGCACGCCCTGGTCGGGCCACGCAACGTACTGCATTTGGTACACCTCCTTTTCGTCGCCGCGGACGCTGCGCAGCAGCAGGCGCCGATGCACCAAATCCTCTCGAGCGTTTTCGGCCACCACGGTGACGGACACGAGGCCCATGTCGTACGTTTCTCCTCGACGGAGCCAGTAGGTTTCACTCTTCCCCTTGCCGTTTTCTTTCACGGCACACAACATCACAATAAAGGCGCAGTCGTTTTCGTAGACCATGCGCCAAAAATCGAGCACGGTGTTCTTCATCGGTGCTTGGGTGGCAATGTACACAAAAGGTACGTTGAACTTCTTGCGCGCGTCAATGTAGTTGGCGTTGATGTAGGTGCCGTCGCCCGATGCGCTGATTTCGCGGAGACGCACGATGGTGCCCTCGTTGGGTTTGACGTCCGAGAAGCGGTTTTTGGCCATGCTGGAGCCGAGGGAGGCGGTGTAGAACTCATCCAAGTTGCTGCGGACGTCCTCGTCGACTCGGCGCAGCTTCGCCAGCTCGCGGTCAAAACCGTCCTCTACAGCCGGATAAACCCGCTCGCTGAGTTGGCGAAGGTGCGCGTCGAAGCGCTGCTTCTCCTTCAGTTGTTCTTCGCTCATCTTCAGTAACTAGCTTCTTCCTGCTGCGAGACTTCCGACAGTCCGGTCAACGGTACTCAACAAGAAAAGGAAAAAAACGCAAAGTGTCTAAATATATCTATGTATAAAAGCTATTTAGGAATGGGATGAAGTTACTCCGATCAAGTTAAATACGTTTAGGAGAAGAAATCAGTAGGCCACGTGCAGAGGTGCTAACAGCCAATGAGAGCAGTAAGGGAATGCTGAGAGAAGACGGAAGAGGTGAAGAGGTTTAGTGGCGTGGTGAGCGAAAAGAAAAGAGTGCCACCTACGGAAACGCTGAACAAAACATTTTTCCTTTTCCTCCTAAGCGCTGCATTCCCGCAGCGTTGAGCAGTTAGCGCACCACATGCGTGAAGTGAATTGCTTCAGCGGCGGCGCGATTTTTAGAATCAACAACAGCACAGAGAGCTATTAGGTTTTCTTTTTGCATATAGATTTGTTCACCTATTCTTCCCTGTTATTTCCATGTTTCTTCCCGAAACATATTCTGTGAAATACCTAAATAATAGAAAGCCATCTAGACTCGCGCCAAAACACGTGTTGATGTGCACGTGCGCATTTGTGCGGGTGCGCTTTTAACTTAAAAAGAGGAAGGGTTTCTCTTCTACTCCGATGACCACGTTGAATTTGCACGTTAACAGTAGTCGATGAAACTGTGTCGTATGGCTTTTTGACGACTATGATGACCGTCAGCCGGATGCACTCGTCAGTCCACGTCTTCTGCGTTCGAGCGGAAGCAAGGCTGCCGGTGAGGGAAAGGAAAGCTACATGGGCACACAAGGAGGGGAGAGCATTTGACCAATTCAGCTGTACAAGCTGACAAAAAAAAAAAGATGACAAAGACAAACACGCAAATAAATACATTTTCCTTTTCTTTTTTCTCTTTTTTAGAAAAGTAAAGTGAACAGTGAAGACACGCTTCGCAGCAGAAACTATTCATCGACCTCTTCTTTGCGTTTTTGCAACAACGCAGCTGACAACCGCAGAGGCAGGCACGAGGAATGAAAAGAAGAACTCCCGTAAATGGCGCTTCGTTGAAAAGAGAATAAAAACACCCGAAGTGGGGGGGGGGGGGGGTAGGGACCCGCTTCCACTTACAGAAAGAAAGCGAGTTTGTCGTAAAACGAATTCGTAGTTGGCCAACGCGCTGGATGAAATTCCTCTATTCGACATGCAGCGTTGGGTACTGAGGTGATGAAGTTAAAGAAACGTGAAAGAAGAAAAAAGGCCCCTCTTTACAGTTCGATGTGCTCTGTTTCTTTCAAAACACCAAGGTAACCGCCGAGTACACAGAGGGACACTGCGTGGGGATAGGACTCGCGTTTCGACGTACGAGCGGAGATCGAGGAAAAAAAAACCCTCATCTGCGCACCTTCCCGGAGCAACAACCAATCAAAAACAACAACCAAAAGTATCAGTAATTAAATGGATACCGGCGGAGTGTCACATCGCAACAGCGGTGGGGTTGGGTAGGGATATAAGCCACCTCAAAAAGAAGAAAAGAGCAAAAGTAGAGCTGTGTGTGAGTGCGTGTACGTGTTTGCGTGTTCATGATCTTTGGGAAACGGCGGAACAGATCGGCTAATAATAATAATAAAAGAAGAAAAGCTTAGTAGGAAGCGTTGAATAAGAAGTAAGGGAAAGCGAAACCAAAAGGAACGGCCATCAATGTATGGAAGGGACAAGAGAAAGAAGATACGTCTTCCGGTAAGACGCGGTTATGGAGATACGCTTCGTGGAAGCTGTCGGACGCACAGAAAGAAAGGCGTACATACATGTATAAATTGAGGAGACGGGCAAGCAACGGGTAAAAGCCAGAAAGCGAAAATACACGGAAGCAAGGAATGCTGATTCAAAAAGGCAAAAGCAGTAAGTAGTATGCACGTCACCGGCAGATCGAACTGGCGGGCTTGTGAACACGCACAGACACACAGTTGCTAACCACTTCAACCGTGCTTCGTTATCAGAAAATGCACTTCAAACACAACACAGACATGCACATGCACATGCACCTGCACACACACACACACTCATAAAACACTTGATCGAGTCTACAATTACATCATGCTGAGAAACAAATGCAGACACTTAGCTTCCACAGACGGTGATTAAAAATGGGATACGAAATGAGTTGACGAGTACGCGCACCTTGGCGGAGTTCGACCCCGTCCATGCCTTATGCTTCCTTGCTTTCCTTATCCCTTTCCGTCGCTACGCCTTCTTCTCCGACGGCCCCGCTTCAGCCGGCGAAGATCGCGGCTCAGTTTCCGCCTCCGGTTTGCTCGGTGGCGCCGTCGCAGCCGATGGCGCAGCCTCGTCCTCATCGTTCTTGCGCGGCAAAAATCCCTTCGCCGCTCCCTCCTCCGCCATGGCGGCGGTGAAGGTGCTCTCGGTTTTCATCGCATGCAGCATTTCCTGCGCCTTCCTCCGGCTGCGCTCCTTCGACACCTCCTCGGTGGCGAGCATGGCGTACATGCGGTCCTCGCTCAGGTCACCAATGTAGGTGATGTCGCGGCCGAACACTCGGCTGCCGACCCAGTTCACAATCACGTAGAGCTTGCTGCGGATGGAGCCGAGGATGGTGAGGTACGCGCTCTTCCACACCCACAGCGCCAGGTAGCCGTTCACGTCAAACTTGAACTTGTCGCCCAGCGACACAATGGCGGAGGAGTTGCCGATAGAGGCCATACTGCCCAGATTGCGGTACTTAAACGGCTGCGTCATGGTCTTGCCCCGCAACACGTTGTTCACCTCCTTACCGATGTAGCGGCCCTGGCGCGAGGCCACCGCGGCGAGGGTGGGCAGCGGCTTTGCGCTGTTCGTTGCACAGTCGCCGGCCGCAAAGACGTTTGGAATGGGCTTGCCATCGCGCAGCACGCGGAGGTGGTCGTCGACGGAGATGCGGCCGCGGTTCGTCTTGTCGCACTTCAGGCCCTTCGTGATCGCGCCCGGACCCACGCCGGTGCTCCACACCACCAGCCCCGTGGGCATGACCTCGCCGGATTTGGTGAACACCTCGTGGTCCGTCACACCGACCACGGCGGATTTCTTCATCTCGACGCCGAGCTGCTTCAGCCGGCGCAGTCCGTACTGGCGCAGCGCCTTATCGAAGGAGCCGAGCACCTCGCCCGCCTCCAACACCGACACCTTGCAGTACGGCAGCAGCGACTGATTCACCTTCTTGATGTCCTCGCGGAAGAAGTCGGCGAGGTTGGCGGCAAACTCAATCCCTGTTGGGCCACCACCCACCACGACGGTGTGCAGCAGACGCCGCGCTTCCGCCTCGGACGTGGTGGGGAGATCGGCGGCCATGATGTTTTGCACCAGCCGCTTGCGAATGCCCCGTGCCTCGTTCACCTCACGAAGAAAAAAGGCCTTGTCCTCAACGCCGGGGACGTTGAAGGTGTTCGGCCGCGCACCGTGCGCCATGATAAGGTAGTCGTACTGCACCTCGAAGGTGTTGACCGGGACGTTCTCCGACGCTCCCACGACGCCGACGCCAACGCACTGCACGACTTTCTTGTCGAAGTCGACGTCGTAGATGACGCTGCGGAAGAAGCGGTGGGGCAGCTTTGCGAGCGCCGGCTGGATGTTCGTGATGGGCTCGCAGACGGAGCGGAACTCCAGTGTGCCGGTGGTGGTCTGAGGCAGGAGCGGGGTGAACACCATGTGGTTGCGGGACGAGATCACCTGGATGTTGCATAGCTTGGGGTTGAGGTGGTGGGCCGCGTAGCAGCCGGCCCAGCCGGTGCCCAACACCACCACATTCGGCTTCAGTCGCAACACAGTGCTGCGTAGCATCTTAATAGTGGCAGAAGGTGATTTTTTCTGTTTCACTGCAGCGCCTCGCTGTTCCCAAATTGCACCGGGGACGACTTGAATCAACGTGGAGCACAACCAGGAAAGCTAATTTGTTTAGGTCTGCTTTGGGGAAAAACAAAAAATAAAAACTTGATAAATATGTGAGGAGTCGGTGGGTGGAGAGGTCAGAGAGCTCAAACAAAACCGCCGTGTGTGTATGTGTGTAAGCACCACAGAGAAATGCAGAACGGCGGAAGCCACCCAAGCGATGTTGGAAACGGCCCGAACAGAAAAAAAAAGAACAACAGCAACAAAAATTCGGCAAGCGAGAAAACGGTGAATTATTATTACGACTGATTTTATACTTATGTGCTAACTCGGAAGCTCTCTACTCTGTGTTAAAGAAAAAGAAGAATGTATATATATTTTTAAAGATGGTCGTCGCGAAACTCAGGAAAGGCTTGCGCGCGCGTTTGCGTAGACAGATCGAGAGAGAGAGGGAGAGAGGGAGAGAAGACAGGATACGGTTCAGACCTGCTTTGTGAGAGACGTGTGCAAAAGCCGCCTCTTTCGTCACACAACAAAAGAACCAAAGGGACGCGTACGGGGCTACAGACGTTGAAGAATAGGAAGGTTGGGAAGTCAAGAGTGGAAGAAATGTAACGACATTTGTGTAATGCATAACTCGCGAGTCCTAATCCACCACTGCCTTCTAGGAACCTCACCCTCCTTCGCTTCTCAGTCACCCTCTGATAATGCCCTCAAGTTTATTCATTGTTTTCGCTTTTTTCCTGGCCCCGGCCAAATCTCAAAGATATCATCGCGTTACGAAGTGCATAGGAAACATTACCCAACTCAAGGATCCTTCCGGAGATCCCATGGGTCCCTGTCGTGGTAGGGACCGGGGGCGGGCGGGTGGAATTTTTGGAAGACCGGAGACTTCACACTGGCGGACAATATACCCAGAATGCAAAACCCCCAGAAACAGGAGAGTCAAGACCAACAGGCGATAAAAGTAAAGGAGAGTATCATGCATTTCCCAAATGACTGAGATCACCGATCCCATCCGCTGACCATCTCTTCTTTCTTGTTTCCGTTCCTTCTATTCCCCTCGCAAGCTCTGAGAAAATAAAACTTCATAGATTGCGTGAATCGGCTCCATCTACCACTGGCAGCAAAAGAAACATGCCCTTCTCAGAGCTGCACACGTATGAACGCATTTCTTTTTGCTGCGTTTGCTTCTGAGCCCGTTCTGGTCTGTAACGGCGGAAATCGTCGCTTTATTTTTAACCCTACTTGATGAAGAGAATAATAGTGAGAAGACACCACATCAGTTCCTCGGCTAACAATCTTCCTCCCCCCCACTCGCGTAGTTTTAGGCTGGACACAGGCCACTTCCTGCGTGGCATCTCTTAGCTGCGCTGTTGCGGTTACATGAAACTGAGCAACCGCACCTACCAAACAACAAAACCACAATTCCTTTATAGCTGTACGGTTACACGTGTTACGGCAAACAACGAAAGAAGCTACAACGTTCTCTCCATTTTGATACTTTCCAACGTGACGTCAAACACATCGCCAGCAATCATTCAAAAAACAGTGAGAAGAAACAGAAGAGGAAAGAAAGCTCGTGCGAAACGTTTTAGGGGAGATCAACTCCTCCACCACTAACGGCAAAAGGAAACAAAGAAACATACCAAGACGGAATGATAATAATGATAATAAAAGAAGTACTAAAAAGAAGGCAAGCGGCAGCTTTTACTTGTGTTAGATGAAGTTGCCAAGGCCTCACCGGACGCGTCATCCATACGCTTTTTTCCCCCTTTTCCTTCATTTCCGGAGATAATGTAACGCTAAAAAATGCAATCATGCATTTTCCATTTCAGCTTTTGTTTGCCTTACTCGGTCGGGCGTGCCCATTCATCCTCCTCCACCAGCAGTTCCACCGGCTGCAGGTCCTCTTCGCGCTTGCCCATAAACGTTTCCGCTTGTCCAACCGTCTCGAGACTCTCCTCCGAGTGCATGCGATAAATGGCGTCGGCGAGCAGCTTTGCGATGGAGATGACCTTAATTTTCTTGCACTTCTGCTGCGCCTCCCTCTGCGGAATGCTATCCGTCACCACAACCTCAACCAATGCGCCGCAGGCCGTAATGCGCTCGCACGCCGGGTCGGTGAAGATGCCGTGCGTCGCGTACGCGTGCACCTCCCTGGCGCCGTACTCCTTCAGCACTTCCGCCGCCTTGCACAGCGTGCCGGCCGTGTCGATCATGTCGTCCACGATGATGCACACACAACCGTCCACCTCCCCCACCAGCTGCATCGACTCCACCTGGTTCGCCACCACGCGACGCTTTAGAATGGTCACGATGCGGCTGGCGCCGACGCGGTCACCCATGCGGCGTGCGCGGTTTACCGCCCCTGCGTCCGGTGCGACGACGACGACATTACTAGGGTCGAAGTTCTTCGACTTGACGTACTCGGCAAACTCCGAACTGGGGCTGAGGTCGACGACCGGACAGCCGTGAAAGAAGCCCTGGATCTGGCCGCAGTGCAGGTCCATCGTCACCACGCCGTTCACGCCCATCTCCGTCACCATACGTGCCACCGCCGACGCGCTGATGGGCACGCGACCGGTGTGCTTGCGGTCCTGCCGCGCGTAGCCGTAGTGTGGGATGACAGCAATGACGCGGCGAGCAGATGAGAGGCGCAGAGTGTGGATGATCAGTAGCAGCTCCATCACGGCTTGATTCACGTTGGTGCCGTCGCTGTTGCCGCAGGTCGGTTGGATCACGAAGATGTCGTCACCGCGAATGGACTCCAAGATCTTCACATTCGTCTCGCCGTTGGCGAAGCAGCCGACACGGCTAGTGGTGACCGGGATGTTCAGGAAGCGGCACACATCCTCGGCCAGCTTTGGATTGGCGTTGCCGTGCACCACGCGCAGGGACCCGTTGCGGTTCGGACGCGACTCCATAATGCTGAATGTACTTGTCTGCAACTGTGCTGGCTTCGCGGGTTTGGGGGGGGGGGGAAGGGGGTGAAGAGACAACCAAAATGAAAGAAGAAGGAAAGGAAAGAAAAACGGAAACCGTTTAGATGAAAGGCGATGGGACGCAGAGAATGTTTTCGTTTCCCAGCTAACATGCTCCTGTGCAGTAGTTCCACTTTTTCCTTGTGTGAACAGAGGAAGCGTTCTTGAATTCTCGAAGTCTTACAGATGCGCCGTGAGCTTGTCACAGAGAGACAGAGTCGATTACCTTTTTTTTCTTCTTTGAAGGAGTTCCAATGCAAATAGGGAAGATAGAGCAGGAAGATAAATAAAAAAACTTCAAAAAAGAGCGACGGGGCGGCACTTACGAGAAACGGGTCGAAAAGGATAAGTAAACGTCAGCGTACACGTAACAGAGAAGCAACAACGTTTTTGATTATGCGACGCTACTCGGAGGCTGTGAGGGTCTCCGCGGAGTGCAAAGACGACGAAAAAACCGAGTTTAGAAGCCGCTGCTGATACAATGCCGGCGTGCACGTTGTTCCCCCCTCATCCTTATCACTGCTCCTGTCTCCACTGCCCTCCGTCGCGCCGAAATGCGTCGTGGCAGCGGCATCGGCGATGGTCGGCAGGCGCTCCCGCAGCGTTCGCTGAAACGACTCCTCCATTTCCTCAATCTGCTGAGGTTGCAGCTTCTCGAACGCGATACGGCGATCAATGCGCCCCGGCCGTAGCAGCGCATCCGCAAACGGAATCTTAGACGTGTCGTTTGCCGTGATGAGCAGCAGCCTTCCCTCGCTGCTGGAGACCCCGTCCAGCGCGTTCAGCAACGCACTCAGAGACAAAGCCGAACGTGGGCCTCCACCGACATCCGTCGAGTAGGTCAAGGCAACGGCGGGAGAGGCACCTTCTGCGTCCGGCGGCTCCGCGGTGGACACGGAGTGCTTTGCTTTCAGCGCATTTTCGAAATCTTCAATCAACAAGATGGAGCGCGGCGGGAGACCGCTGACGAGGGAGAGGAGCGCGTCGTCGTCCATGTTGTCGCTGCGGAGCGAAAGGATGTGCAGTGGCAACCCCAGCTCCCCCGCGAGGGCCATCGCGAAGCTCGACTTGCCAGTCCCAGGCGGACCCTCTAATAAGTAGCCCCGCCGCCACGGAATGCCCAGCGCGGCGTAGGTGCTCTTCATGCGCAGAAAGAGCCGCGCCTCCTCGACGATGGCCTTCGTCTCTGCGGGAAGGTACAGCGTGTTGAGGGGGCGGCGCAGGCGCTCCGACAGCAGCCGCCACCGCGCGCTGTAGCCCTCGCTGAGGTAGATGTGCACGGTGTTGCGCACGTTGTCGTTCCACGACTCCCGCACGTGACTCATAAACAGCTGCACCACAGCGCGGCGACGCGTAAGGAAGGTGAGAGTGAGCTTGTCGTTTTCGCGGTCCACGCGGTGTGCCGCGGCGGCCTTCTGCTTTGACGGGTCTTCGCTGCGTGTGATGTACACCCACGTGGTGCCGAAGCGGAAGAGGTGACTGCCGTAGCCAGGCACCAGCATCACCCGCGCGTCCGCGTCGGCGGCGCTGTGCGACGCATCTGCAGCCTCCTCTGTGCCCCAAATGGCCTTCTGCTCGTCTTGCACCGTGACCGGCCGCAAACCCAGGTTGCGTATGCGCTGTCCGTGTGGCTGGCGGCCCATCCAGTCCACAATCATTGCGAACTCCTGCGAGGAGGAGCGCACCTCGAGCGTGGTAGCCACGCTGTTCTTTACGGCGTTCCAGATGGTGGACTTTTGCGAGGTAAAGAGGTCCCACAGCGCGGAGAGGAGGAAAATGGCGAGGGCGAGCACAACGGCTTGGGTGGTGAAAAGGGAGCTGGGGCCGCTCGCCATCGTCCTGTCGGCCCTGTGGGTGTGACCGCTAGTGTTGTTGCCATTGCCGTGATCGCCAGCCGCTTCATCACCTTGTGGCCGGCGTGTTGGACGGCGCCGCTGCTGGAGTGCACGCCGCGACGACTTCCCGGTCGCCTGAACGACGTCGGACGGCAGGGCTGTGGAGGCCGCGGGCGTGCTGCTGCCGGTGCGTCCGTACAGCAGTGCCATCAAGCCGGCGGGCGAGGTGAAGAGGTCCGAGGGGTCCGGCATGCTGAAACGTCGGTGGGGCGTGAGGAGGGGGGAGAACGATACTGCACCGCTGCGGAAAGGCGTTGCAACAACGCGCAAGGCCGCAACCGGACGGCGCTGTGTCACCGCAGCGGCACCACGGCAAAGATTCTTGCAGTTTTGTTGCATGGTCGACGGATGTGGCGAGAAAGCTAGAAAAGGGTTCGCTAAAGGAGTAGTTCCCTTCGCGATGAATTGCGAAAGCAGTCGCGAGTGTTTAAGATGATGCAGCGGAAAGGAAGTCGTAAAAGTGAGAGAAACATCAATTGGGGAAACTCTGTTTGTCGGAGGGGGGAGGGGGGCTGTTCTTCTGGAGCGGGGGAATCCTGCGCACAGCTGCCAGCATCAACAGCAGCAATGAAGCCCGCATTGTTTTTCTTCTTGTGGCTGATCAACAGAGGGAAAGCAACCAACGACAGTGTTTTCTTTCTTTCTTGCGAAGCAACGATCGTAAACCGGGAAGCTACCAGGAAAAAAAAAGAATACGAACACACGCACGCACCCCTCACCACATGCACATAATTACCCCACGATGGACGGTTCAACGACGATGCCACTAAACTTCAACGATCTCATACCCGTCCTTCAAGCGTGCGTACACGCCGTCCGGCGCCGTGGCGGCCCGCTCTTCCACGTGGCCCACAATCCACGCCGGGCAACCGCCGTCGACGTCGTGCAGCTCCTTCTGAAACGCCTCCGCCACGGCAAGATTCGGCAGCGCCACGAGCAGGCCCCCACTAGTCTCCGCCGAGTAGCCCTCGAAGAGGCGATACTTATCCTTCATCAGCCTTGACGCGACGACGGCGGTCTTGAGCATCGGCAGCCGCTCCAGCACGAGGCAGAGCGAGCGCGGGGACTCGCCAACGGCCTGAGCAGCACCAAAGTTGTTGGCGTGGCCAAGAATGCCGAAGCCCGTGACGTCTGTCGCACCGTGGGCGCCGTGCTTCAGCATCAGACGCGCCCCTGCGCGATTCAGCCGCCGCATGCTGTCCGTCGCCTTGTTGTACAGCTCCTCAATGTCCTCCCGAGCAATGCGGCCTTCGATGGCCTCCTCGTAGAGGGGCGAGGGCCGCATGAGCCACTGTTTGAGATTCATCGCAATTTGACAACCCAACGGCTTCGTCAGCACCAGCACATCGCCAGCGCGCAGCAGACCAGCCGGACGCACCATCTCCGCCTCCGATACGACCGCCATGGCAACTCCTCCGATCAGCGGCCACGGGTTCATGACGGTCTGACCGCCCGTCACGCTGGTCGTGGCGAGCTGCGCCCGCTCGGCGAAGCCCTTCATTATTTCGCGCGTCGTGACGAGGCGCTCGTGCTCGTCCATGTCGGTGCTCGCCGCCAGCAGCATCAGCATCGTGTCGCAGTCGGCGATGCCCATGCTGTACAAATCAGACAACACGTTGGCGGCTCCAATTTGGCCCTGTAGAAACGGGTCCGCCACGCTGGGGAAGAAAAAGTCGGTGGTGGAGACGAGGAAGAGCGCTTCGCCCTTTTCGTTCTTGTGGTGCACCGGGACAATGCTGCAGTCCATGCCGACATCTTCCTGCCCGGGAGAGGTGGAGACCTCCTGCAGGAGCGCCAAGAGCTTCGGCTGCGGCAGCTTGCAACTGCAGCCTTTGAGACGGGTATAGTCGGTGAGTTGAAACTCCGGGGGCAGACCGAGAGAAACGGGGTCGAAGCGGGACCGCTTCAGGTCCGACGCCCCACCGTTGGCCGCCGCGGGCGAGTGGGTCCGCTTGTGGGACATAATGATTCAGTGGTAATAACAAGAATCGTTTTTTCTTTTCGAGCTACGACGTTCGTTCAAGTAATCGAGACGTCAGGCCTGTTGACACGATAGTACCATCAGAAATAATAAATGGAGGAATAGGATCGAACTAGGTTGTGAAGAAGTCAATACGAAATGTGGAACGCGCGAAACAACAAAAAACACGTTGCACTGACAAACACACGCTCAAAAGTCTTTCTGTCCATGATAACGTTGCACTCAACAACAAGCTGCGATGTAGAGTAATGACAGCACGCTCTCTTCATTCTTTCTTTTTTTCCATTTTCTTCAATTCCATTACAACTGGATTAACTCATCGTGTTCAACAGGCGAAAAAAGAAACCCTCAACGAGGAACCACAATCAGGCATTCAAAAACAGCAACAAAGGACTCCCCCCACCACCCTCCCTCAAGAGCGACGTGAACTTCGCACACGACTGAACGATCGCAGCTTCTCGTCGCTTTCACTTGACTTCTACAAGTCCTCGAGGAATTCGTTGAGCTCCGCATCCTCCTCAGCTTCGGCCGCCTCGGCGCCGCCTTCCTCCCGTGGTCTTTTCTTGCCCACCTCGGCGCCGCCTTCGCCCGCACCCGCTGCAGCAGCTGCCTTTTGTGCTGCCGCCTTCTTCTTCTCCGCCACCGTCATCCACGTGCGGGGGTCGTAGCGGCCGTCCACCTGCGCCATGTGTCGTCGGTTGTTTTCGCGGAATTCGACCGCGTCTGGCTCGTCGGACAAAATCCACTCGATCTTCTCCGCTGCCTTCTGCAGGTCCTCCTCCGTTTTCGCCGTGATGCGGACGTGCGGGTCCTCGAGCGCCATGGCGGCCGCGTTCGGGTTCGTGTCCTTCAGCGGGTTCGTGATGCCGCGGCCGACCAGCACGATGTGGCACTTGGTTTCCTTCTCCAGGTCTTGGTGCACCTGTCCGCGCGGACCAATGAGGGCGCCGTAGTCGCCGGTTTCGATCTGCTCGTGCGTGAAGTAGATGCGGTGGTTGATGTCTTTGGATTTGTTCGCCGCGTACTCGGCCCGCTCCACGTAGGTGCGGAGCAGCTTGCTAATGTCGTCCATCACGCGCAGCCGCTTCTCCATCACGACGTCCTCGGGTGTGTTGGTGCGATTGCCGTTCGCATCATACTCGGGCTCCAAGGGGATGTTGCAGAAGTACGCGTCGCAGGTGTGCGTGGCCAGCATGCGCTGCATATCCGTTGCCAAGACGCGCAGCAGAAAGGCGCGAATGAACTGACCGTCTTCTGCGACAAGGGCCTCGGAAGGGACGTAGCTGGGGATGTTGAGATTGGTGTAGCGGACATCGCTCCACCGCGAGGTAGTCTCCTTCGGCATGCTAGAGAAATAAAAATAAAAAAGAAAACAGACGGAATGCGTCAGCAAATAAAAAACTACTACACAATGGAGTAGTGTCTTTCACGAAAGAAGGTCGGTCGTGGACGTGAAGGTTTGTGTCGTCACGCCTGTGTTTTGCGGTATGACGGCAGATGAAGGAGAAAAGAAGAGAGACGAAACGTTGAGGGAGGTTAGGTGGAACGGACTAGAGACGCCTCTATTGGCGTTCAGTCCTCTGCTAAGCGGCTACACAACGGACGCATAGTGAGGCGAAGGAAGGGAGAGAGGGAGAGGGAGAGGCATGTTCAAGTCGGTGCAATTAAGAGTCACCGTTGAGTTGTGCGTCCAGCATTCGCGGCCAGCAACGCTTAGAAGGCGCTCTTCTTTTTGTTACTGTTATTAAAAAGCTGTGATGAACCGTTCCGTGGCGGTTATGCGGAAGAAGCACTTGCGCTTCCCTCACCACCCATCGAGAATGGCGTGTCTCTGTGTACCGTAAACGAGACGGCGTTGTCGTCCACATCTTCGAGAAGTGGCGCCGTGTAATTGGAAGACGAAAGCGAAGGCCACCCGGCAAGAAACTCGTCCACCGCGGTGCGACACCCTTTCCAGAAGTGGTAGTCATCCACCTGCACAAAGCGCGGCGGGGACGACGGCCGCCTACGGGGAAGAAGAGCAGACCGCATCCCGTTATCGCAGCGGCGCATCACAGGGACGAGTAAATCGAGTGCCGTGCGCGTCGAGGCGTACCAGTCCGCGTCCACGTGAAGCAGCGCGATGCCATCGTGCTGAATGTCAGGTCGAGTCAACAGCTGAGTGGGAATGGAGGTGTAAAAGAGACCGGGGAGAAGGACGAGACGATCCTCCACAGAAAAAGCACGGGCGAGCTGCTGGACGTGTGCGACGGAGGAGCAGCACGTTCCCGCCCCCCACGACGCAGTGCTGCTGCTATCCACATCAGCGGCGCCTGTTGAGTTCGAATGGTGCGGCTGCACCAGCGAGTCTTCACTGCCAGGGGGAGGCATCCCGGCGAAGGTGTCCAAGGCAAACACGCGACGCTGCTTCCGCGCTGAACCAGCACGAACCGGGGCTTCCCTTTCTGCAAGGACGACGGCCATGAGCACGGCGGAGCCGCCCCCGGCCGTCCCACACTCCACAACGTGCCCAGAGTCCTTCTCTCCTTCGTTGCGAGCCAGCCGGTCCGTTGCTTCGTACAATCGATAGAGCCGTGGCCACGAGAGCATCGTGGAGTCGAGCAGGGCGTCACACAGGAGTGCGAAGAGTGGGTGCTGCTTTTGAATCTCCGCGGGCGGCAGGAGGAGCGGGCGGACGAGTTCATTTACTTCGTGCAAGAGAAGTTGGGCTTGCTGATGCTGTGGGTGGAGCCGCAGTTCTTCGAGGAGGCTCTGCCGGGCTTCGAAGGGGCCGCTTTGCGCACCGCCGGAAAGAAAGCAGAGCGCCCGCGCGTAGTCGACCCCTTCGACGCGGAAGTGCTTCGCTTTCAAGGCGTTCAGCTGAGGAAGCGCCTGCGCAGTGCGGCCGCAACGGATGGCATCAAGGCAGTCACGGACAACTTCCGCGGCACTAACAGAGCTGAAAAGGCTTTCGCAGAGGTGGCGACTAGTGCAGAGCATTTTCTTTTAGGTGGCTGATGCGAAAACTGCCTGTGAGGGTGAAGTGCACGAGAAGGGGGAAAAATATGTAACGAGCTTAGAGAAGTAAAGTGCGGACAAAGTAATGCTGACTTGCTTGGAAGATTACAATCCTGAGCAAGAGCGGTGCAAGCAGAGTACTTCAATAATAATAATCACCTCAAATCACTCGGTGAGTACAATGTGTAAGAAGGGCATGCTGGTCTACTTGCACATGGCACTCGCCTTTCTTCAAGAATAGAAAAAAAGGGTACCGATTACGTAAACCAATGGGTAACTAAATAACTAAATCAAAACGTATGCTTAATGAGCTGACATTAAAGCCATCAAATACTGTACATGCTGAAGAGACTCACCGGCACAGGAAAACAGAAGGAGCAGAGGTACAAAGAAAGATGAAAAGCAATGCTACTTGAGCTTCACCATGAGAGTGCAGCTCCTTCGTATTCCAAGACTCGCCAACGTCCGATTGCGCTCCTTCCACTCACACTTCACCGGAAAAGCCTGGTACAGTTCATATGACGTGCGCGCAAACTGCGGTGCGGCCGCAATGAACTTCTCTCGCAGCGTCGCAACCGTGTCCTTCAGAGCCGCGTCCAACGTGACTTTCTGCCCCGTCGGCAGGCGAACACAAATGGCGAGGAAGCTGCCCTCGACCACCGAGCTGCTGCGAGAACGCGTGCTGGCTGCTTTGCCGTCGACGGCGCGCTTGGAGGGAGAATCAGGCTGCTGCTGTGGCGATGGCGGTGGCGGCGGGTGTATTTTGGCACGACGACTCGCCGCTTCCGCAGCAGCCATGCGCTTCACCGTGTTCGAGGGGCCGTTGCTGGCGGCCGGACTCCCAGACGCCTTCGCCGTGGCGCCGTCCTTCAGCCCCATCAGTGCCGCCATTTCGCTACGCACCGGCACGAGCTGACCGCTGGCGGTGACTCTCTGCGCGGGCACTTTGCTGAGAAACTCCGCTGCGCTAACCGGGTTGTAGCCGACGCCGTCCTTGCAGTCTTGCAGCGTGTGCACGGGTCGCGGCTTGCCGGCTTCCAGTGGCGCGCCGCCCAGACGTCGACCACCTTCCGACGGGAAGACAGGTGAGGGGGAGGAAGACGCCGAGCGGCCTTCACCTGCGGCGGTGCTTCTTCCTCCAGCCTTCGCATGAGGAGAGCCATGCTCGTCCACCACGCACGTCTCCGTGCTGCAATCGGTGATTTCGATTGGGAAGCCATCTGGGTACTTCTCTTTAAACTCGTAAGGATAGTAGCCCTCCATGAGGTCGTCTAAGAAGGCGTCGCAAAGGGCCCATCCGTACGGGCGGAAGGGACCGCGATTCACGCAGATGCCGTTCTTGTAGATGACCACCCGCACCACGTCGCGCTCGCGGATGCCGGCCTGGTTGCCGTGCCGCACCACACCTTTCCACCCAACGTAGTCGGAGAGAATGCGTGCATTTTTCGTCAGCATGGCCATATCCACCGTCGCTGCAGAGTGTCGCTGATCCCTGTGTGCCGGCGCTTGCTGCGACACGTGTGACGGTGGCGGAGCTTGTTTAGCATTTTCACCCACCCGTGTCTTTTGAGGGCTGAAGAGAAGTGTTCCGGGCCGTGCGGTGTTGGTGAAGTGGGTTGGGGCGGCCTTTTCGCCGTCATTTTCATTGAAGTCCCCGCTAAACAGATCGAACTTTTCTTTTTTCGGGCTGGTCTTGGAAGGTGTCGACGGAGCGCCTTCTTGACTGGCGCGCCGATCCTTCGACGGCGAGTCGCCAGCGCCTTTCCCTGCCCTCGGCGTTCCCGTGGCACTCTCAAAGCCGCCCAGCTGCTGCTCCAGCAACTCCTTTTCACTGTAGAGCGTGAGCACCGCCGTCTCTGCTTCCTCGCGCAACTGCCGCTCGCGCTGGTAGGTGTCGTTCAGCTGCCTATACCTGCCGTGCAGCTCCTGCAGCTCGGACTGGTACGCCTTGTGTTTCGACTCCAGCTCCTTCAGTCGTGCAGCCATGGCGGTGACGAGGTCATCACTGTTCTGGCTTCCCGCTCGCACCCGTGAGCGTAGCTGGTTCGCAAAAGGTTCTTTGTCCAGGTTGGCGGCACCACCACCACCGTTGGGACCACATCCACCACCAACCCCAACAGCCCCTGCGTTCCCCGCCGGCCGCTCCACCGAAGACGGCGAGGCACGTCGCGGACGCAGCACCTCCTGCAGTAACTCTCTCCGCGTGGCGTCATCCAGTACATCCGGCAGGAGAAGGAGCGGGTCGTCCAGCGCGTTGCGCTTCTTCTTATTCGGTGTCCCGACACCTGGCCGGTACTTTTGCGGCGAGCCGAGCGGCTTCGACACAAGACGGCGGCCCTTGTCCATTCTCTCTCCGACGAAGGAGGAAGCGGTGCAAGGGGCAGAAGGCCCGCCTTTCACTCGTGATCAACCTGGAAAGCTCACCTCAGGTTTTCTTTTTACATGCAAATGAAACAATATACTTTTTAGAATGTATGAATATCAGCAGATGAGATGTTGTGGAGAAAAAGGAAGAGTGGAAGCAGAAAACAAGCAAACAAAAAAACTACACAGTTTCGGTCTACCAATTCCGCCCAAGATGACGGGAGGCCGATCATGAAAACAACAAACAACGAGGACACGCGGAGAGGGGAAGGGGAGAGGAGAGAGGGAGAGAGGTGTGCGAAGTCAAGAGGATGCAGGTAAGTTGAAGAACAGCGACACAGCGAGGCGCATATAGAGTGTAGCATTGCCCCTGAAAAATCTTTTGTTTTCAGAGACGGAATACGCGTGAACGTCGATACATGACAAATGATGTAGCGATTTTGGCTATTATTTGATGTTGTTCTTGCGCTGCTAGGCAGACAGATAGGAAAGAAGAAGAGAAGAAGACGTCACAAGCGGCGACGTGAGAGCCGTGAAGAGGGGAAACAAAGCAAACCATTTCCGTTTGCGTGGCCACAGCTTCCTTGTCGAGGTAGACACGCGCGCAAAACACGACCCACCGAACACGCAGCGCAAAACGCAGGAATTAGGCCGTAGACAACGAACTGGGCAAAGCACACAGGTCGTCCACTCAAAAAACAAAATAAAATCAACAAGGTGCTCCACGCCCACACTAGTCAAGCACGACGCACGGAACAGGGTTGACGTTGAAGCTGTCGAGCTCCTGCTCCCATCCACACACCAGCTCACTCATGAGCTCCACGTGGTACTCGCACAGCTGCCGCACCTCTGTCACTATCCACGTCGTGAGTTTCTTGTTTTCACGTGCGTGGGGATGGGAGGGGCAGCGGAAGCGCACCACTGTCTTCCAGTACGCGTCCTGCGGATGGATTTTGCGTCTAGCGGGGGACGCGTTGACGTCCACCGCTGAAGGCTTTTCAAAGGACGAGATCGTTGTGTAGTGCGTCGCGCAGGACCGCGTCGAGGGGTACCAGCTCTCCCACACGAGGTACTCGCTGTTCCACTGCGGCTTCGAATAGCGGGGGTGGAAGCGGCCGATTTCCTCGAAGACGCCGTCATAGCGCGGACTGCGCAAAATGGCGTGGCGGGCCGAGAGGCTTTGGTGCATCTCGTGCAAAAAGTCCAACACGCTGGACGATGCCGCCTTCGTGCGCTTCTTCGGCGCCGCCGCCGCCGCTTCCACGTCCGTTTCGCCGCCGCGCAGCAGCGACAGGAGCTGACGGTGCTGCACGCGACTCACCACCCCGCGGGGACACAACTCGTAGTAGCGCTCTACCCCGGTGAGGGCTTTTTCGCCATCGCCGTAGAGGCAGCGAGAGGCGTGCTCGGCGGGGGCGGTGTGCCACCACCGCTCCAGCGCCATTGAAAGGGCCGTCTTGTGTTGGGCGATGTAGCGACGTTGTCGCCGCTCTACCTCGGTTCGGTTCTGCGGGAGGGGCAAACGGCAGTGCAGCAGTAGCGGCGCCGTGGCGGCCGCGCCGGGTGTGCGGTGCGCCGGCGCCTCTTTGCTCCACACGACCCACTCACCGGAGAGTCGACCCTGATACGGGAGAGGGGCGTTGTCGGCCTTCACGCCTCGGTAGGCAACACCCGTCGTCAGCGTCGGCTCGAGCAGGTACGCCGGACTCACCGAATCTGCACCACTGCTCTCCGCCACAACGCCTTTTCCGCTTCGACTTCTCGAGAAGTCAACGGGGGAGTCGAGGATGCGGTAGCCATCGCGAGAAATCAAAAAGGGAGTCGCATTAGGTGCGTTGTAGAACTGCTCTTGGAGGACCACGTCCGTGTCGAAGGACTTCAGAACAACGATGGTGTACGCGTCGACGCCCGACCACGCCGTTACAGGAAGTACCGCGCCAATGAGGGAAGCGAGAAGAACTATGGATTTGAGGACGGCGATGCGGTGCCACGCCCAGAAGCTACCACCGCCTTGCATAGTGGAGAGAAGAGGTGCTAACAAGCAAAACCAACACCAAGTCGCTTGTTTTTTCATGTGTGGGCGGTCTCGATGGCGGTAAAATTTAAGGGATAGATAAGCCGACCAGAGTTACTTCAACAGTTTCTGACCTAAAAGACGTGGAAAGTCGATCCGATCGACCAAGCAGACCCGAATGCATTGATCGGCGCTACTCCCTTTTAGAGAGAGCACCTCTGCATTCATGAAAAAAAAAAGAAGGGAGAAAGAACGAAGAGAGGGGAATAAATCAGCAAACATGTGACGTCCAACGCAGACTTTTCCGCTGGGAATGCTGTTATTTCCTCATCACAAGTTCTTAGTTACACCATGTTGACGACTACTTGCAGTCAATCTTGATGAGGTCATGTCGCCACGCAACGGAGCTCATCAACAAAGAACTGTTGCTACCTGAGGTGAAGCCGTGAAGGTGATTGCTCAGCAGAAGAAATGATCCCGAAAGCCCGTGAGTCCAACTTGTTGTTTCACATCAACGAGGAAACGCGTGGAATCAATCTTCAATTTTCCACCATCATTCGGTGAATGAATGAACTAAATGGAACGTATAGAAAACAGTAAAAAAAAAAGAGAAGCAACAGAAGCAATGCTCTGTCGACCTGTAAAGGCACTATTATTGTTTTTTTTTTCTTTTTACCACTAGAATGGTATAAATGATTTGACCTATCTCTCACAAATGTAAAGAAAGGGAACAATAGGAATAATAACGTAAAAAGTGAAAGAGAAACTACAGCTAGAGAGGAGACGCCGTCGATGCACCGGGAAATAAATCGGAAAAAGAACGGTGATTGGTAAAAAAAAAAGGCAGGGCGTGATAGTGGCTAGTTTGCTTGCGAGAAAATAGAAAAGAGAGTAAAGCAAGGGGAACGTCTTTGTTGAATTCAATTTGTCTTACCAGCTGAAGCGAGAGCTGGCAACCTCGACAATGTCCTCTGCGATGGCCATGGATGCAGTCGCCGCCGGACTTGGCGCGTTGCGCACATTCAGAATCAACGGCTTACCGCTTCCGTGCGTCACCAGCGCCTTGCCCTCGTGCGAAGTATCGCGGACTGCATCCAGAATCTTCTTCGCGTCCATCGTCGCCTCCAAAGTCACGCGCGGCCGAGCAAACTCCATCGCGAGGTCCATGCTCAAGGTGCCATCTTGGGCCACACCGATCGCCATCACACCACAGAAGCTGTCCGTGATATCCTTCGCCTCAATCGAGGGGATCAGCTTCTGAGCTTCACGCACAAAGATCTTCTTGCTAAAGTCCATGTAGTACGTCTGGCAAATGACGTCGAAGTTGGAGATGAGACTCACCCACCCGCCTTTGCTGAAGGCGCAGTTGAGACAGTACTCCAAGTCGATCGTGTAGGGCGTGTAGCCGTAGCGGTCAAAGGCCATAGCGGAGCCGGGACCGATGATCAGCTGGCGCCCCCGGCGCTCATCCACTGTCGGTGTAAAGTGCACACCGACGCTCAAACCCTTTCGGCTGTCCGGGCACGGGTAGACGTGCATGTGCACCATGTCCTTCCGCTCCGGCGTCAACTGGTAGTAACGGCCGCGAAAGCCGTAGGTCTGCACCACGCGCTTGCCTACCCATTCCAGAATACCACCTGAGTGCTTGGCCACAACGTCGTTGCTGAGACCGCAGCACGTGATGACGTTCCGCGCGAGGATCGTCTTCTCCGGGCCCAGGTGGTTCCGCTCGCGGCCGCGGATCAGCACCATCTCCTCTGCACCGGGGCCCTTCGTGTTCGCCACCGACACACCCACGAAGTCCTGCGCGTCGAACTGGAACTGCGTGGTGAAGTTGCTCTTGGCGTTGGCCACCATCTCGCGCAGCATGCAGCGCGTCACCGCCGCGAAGTCGATGATGCCGGTCGTGGGCGACCACAGCGCCGAGAGGCCCGTCACCAGCGGCTCCTTCTTCTGGATCTCCTCCTGGCCGTGGATGATCTCCAGCCCCTTCACGCCGTTCTTCGTGCCCCAGTCGTACATCTGCTGCACCGTCGGCAGTTGGCTCTCCTCCGTCGCGACGATCATCTTGCCGCACAGCTCGTAGGGCAGCTTGTGCTTGCGGCAGTAGTCGATGATCATGCCGTGGCCGCGCGGGCACAGACGTGCCATGGCGGTGCCGGGCGGGTAGAACATGCCGGCGTGGATGCATCCGCTGTTGTGGCCGGACTGGTGCTGCGCCACGTCCGCCTCGCGCTCGACGAGGATGACGCGCTTGTGCGGGTACTTCTGGCGAATCTCGCGCGCCGTGGCCACGCCGACGATGCCGCCGCCGACAACGGCCACGTCGTATATGTCGCGGCGGTCGTCCTTGCTGTAGGTGACGAGGGAGTGCGCGGTGCTGACGGCGCCGGTGTCCATGTTGCCGTACTCACGACGGCAGTACACCGCCGCCGCCAATCCGCCCACCACTGTCAGCTGGCACACGCCAGAGAAGAGCCGCCCGAACACGTGCGCCATAGTCGAAGCGGAACACGGACAGATGGAGAGAGACAAGTAACAGGAGTGAAGACGACCTACACGAGTTGTTGCATGGGGGTGAAAAAAGAAATCAAAAACGGGTGAAAATAACGGAAAGAGCAGACTCCACACCTTCACGAGAGTAGCGATAAGAAATAGGTTTGGTTTATTGAGTGGAGGTTGCGTGTAAGCAGAAAAACTAAAATAGGTACAAGAGGTATTGGAGCTTAAAAAAAAAACGTTGCGACGGAGATGAGTGCGCTAATGTGTTTCCTTGTTTGTTTCGTTGTTGATCGTGTATGCACAACTGAAACAGAGTTTGGTACGAATATTGGGTAAGAGCAGAGGGATAGAGCTGTGGACCGTCAGCGAAAAACGTGCTATGTTTTGTGTTCTATTGAGGTACAGCTACGATATGCATCCTCAGCGATGGACGAAAGACGTAGTGGGGAGGGTGCGATCTCACAAAACGTATATATTTTTTGGGGGAGGGGAGAGGGGCCTGAAGAGGTGAAGGAATGCGTCCGACGTGCAACACAACTCAAAAAGGTTGCCCGGTGAATAATACAGGCTGAAAAACAGCGATTCAGACTTCACCCATTACTGGCGAGGCGGCTGCGTTACGAGGAGTAACGCCTAGTTGCACGTGGTTTGCGAGAGCGAATCCCGCACGGCAACGCGTGGCTTGGCTGCAGGGAAGCAGTAGGGTTTCTTTATTATTTGTTGAGATCTGTTTGTCGCGTATGTTCATCTGTAAAAAGGTTAGTTAATCGAGTGATGAAGTTAGAGTAACGTATCATCTTTGCATTGGCTAAAGAAGAAAGAAAAACGTGCCGTCGACGAAGAAAAACAAGTTGATCTCCGACATCTCTCCATACACAAGAAAATGCCGTCTCGTAGGAACGCCCTGTTGGCCGCTCCTCTCTCGTCTTCTTCACCGAACAGGAAAACTGCTAGAACGCTCGGTACGAGAAGAAGCAGGAACGTTAAACACCCACGCCGTCCTCGCGGTTCAACACACTTAGCGCCTGAGTTGTGGTATCGTCCAACATCCCCAAGGAGTGAAAGCACTCCCGCAGTTGCCGCTCCACCGCGTCTCGCTGCGATGCAGGCAGTCGACGCACCTGGTGCCATAGGGAGCGGTCGTGCAGGACGAGGCTGTGCAGGAGGCGAGCCAAGGTGCGAACGGACTGCTGAACAGGCTGCAGGGAGGAGGGGGCGTGCGCGTTGCTGCGATACTCCCCGAGAACTCCACCGCTTGCGTCTCGCACGGCCTCGTCCTGGTCGGCGTACTCCAGCACGCCGGCTGCGAGTGCCACCACGGAGTTTATCGACACTGTTTGCTCGGTGAGAAGGCCGCCGCCTGCGGCGTCCTTCCTCTTCAAGATCTCTCGTTGCTGCTGCCCACCGCTGCGCCGCATTGCCGTCGACTCTGCCTGCCGTTGCACCTCCAACGTCTGCAGCCGCTCCGCCAGCGCCGCGTTGACCCCGGACAAAATCTGCGCTGCAAACGTAGACCAAATGATAGACTCCGTGTGCACTGACGAAAACGCGCGTGGACGACCCGGCGCCGTGGCCCGCTGCTGCGCCAGCTGCTGCGTGCGTCGGGTGCGGATGTGCGGAAACAGACTCGTTGCTGCGTCCCAGAGCATCGCGAGCTGCGACAGCGAATACTCCTGTCCCACCGCTGAAGAAGAAGCGCTGCGTTGTGCGCTGCTCGAGATAAAAACGGTTTCGGCGAGAAAGAGACATCCGGCCACCCAAACATCCGCCGCAGTTGGCGCGGAGTGCCGCCCTTCCGTCCTTTCCACACCGTGGCGTGCGAAAAGCTGGAAGAGTTCAATGAGATCGTTCGGCGGAAGGCTCTGCGAAAGCGTGCGGAGTGCTTGCACGTGTGCTTCGTTCACGTGCTGCTCACGGAGCGCGGCGGCGAGCTGGCGTTGCTGCAGTCGCGCCTGCTGCACCACCGTCTCCAGCAAGTACTTTTCCGCATTTTTGCGGCCGTGTTGTTGGTAGAGTTTGTGGCGGTGGGGTCGCGTGGCGAAGGCCAGCAGCGACGACTGACGCGCCTTCTCATGCAGCACGTGACTTGTTTGCGTACGCAGCTCAGGAAAGATGTCGGTCAGCAGTTTCGTAAGCAGCTGCGCGACGCGTGCGTCCCCGGCCGGCAGCAGGCGAAGGCGGTGAAGCTGTACCGCAAGACGGGCGGCGTCTGCCGGCGAGAGGCGCCCGAGTCTGCCCGCCACCGTTGCCCCTCCGTCTCGCCTCTCTTGCACGGGTGTCTGACACTCCGCAACGAGTTGGTCCACCACGCCAGCCCCTACCGCCGTCATCGCGTCCTCCAGCGCATGCAGCGTGCGGTGCAGCGATGCACGGTTCCTGCTGTTGCTGCGGTCGCTTTCTTTTGCATGGCCGCCATCTTGTGCGAGTGTCAGCGTCATGGAGGCCATGTGCTGCAGCGTAACGCACAAACTCATCAGCTCTGGCGCACACCCCAGCTCCAGCAGCGCAGGGACCTCCAGTTCTGGCAGAACGAGGCTGTGAAGGGCAAGGGTATCCGTGACGAGCGGCATCACCTCCGCGGTGTGTGGCGGAATCCAACGCATGGACCGCGCGTTGCTGTGAGCGGGCCGGTGCTCATTGTGAAGCACAGCTGAGGACGCGGCGACCTCGTCGTGCAAGTGGGAAGCGGTGTCTGACGTGCTGACGGCGTTCTGCAGCATCGAAAATAACAGATCTGGCTCCTCGTCGGCGGCAGCTGGAGGGGGTGATGCTGCAGAAGCGCTCGTGCTGATCCCCTCCATCTGGCCCGAACTTTGCTTGTCTTTCCTCGTCTTTTCACTGCTCTCATCGCCACCGTTGATGGCAGCACTCACCGGCGTTCGTCCATCATCTTCATCAACGGCCGTCACACGCGCACGAAAGGCTCGGGAAGGCAGCGAGACAACAAAGCGCGGTGCTTGGCGACTTAGTTGGCCGCCTTGCACGTAATCGCGCAGAATGCCCAGAGCTATGCGGGTCAGCGCAAGGCAGAAGAGCAGCAGCCGTGACACAGGAGGTACAGTGGATTGCGAGACCGCGGTGCACGGCCCGGCCGACGCGGCCGCGGCGCGCCTGTGCTCCGCGACCACCGCCGTCCACACCGACTCTCGCAGCAGCAGCCGCCATAGCCGCGCCGACACGAACGACCGAGTGAGGAGAGAGGAGCGGACGAGCGCGAAGTCGTCACGCGCGACCCGGCGGCGGCGCTGCAGTGCGTCGGCCGTCTCGTGCAGCAGCGCCGCGTCCTCCGCACGGAGCGGCAACGCGCCTTTTTGGTGTTTCGCGGGGGACCGGTGGCGGTAGCGCAGCTGTGATGCGAAGTCGCGTTGGAAATTCTGCCACAGTTTGTCCGCCGCGTCGCAGCGGTGTTGCGCAGCGCTCAGCTTCTCCTGCAGGTGCTGCCGCCGTACCTCCTCTACCGAGTGGAGAAGCTGCAGCAACAGACACACCGCCTCGATCTGCTGCTGCGACGCTGGTGGGGCGGGGGAGCGGGCTAGCGGCGTGAATGCCTGGTTGTCTGACATCACCTGAAGTCTCCATGATCTCGTGGCATCACCGCGTGAAAAGGCTTTCGCGTCAACATCGCTCTCCTCACCATTATCCGGCAGCGACAGCGCAGTCGATGCTGCGGTATTTTTTACGTTCGTTGCGTCGTGCGGGTGCACTGCAGACTCCTGCCCACGCTCCCGCCTTGCACTCCACTCCCGCTGCTTGCGGACCAGCTTGCCCCAGCTCCGCTCCACCAAAGAAACGGCAACAGGGATGCGGCGCAGCAGAAGCTCGTCTAACACACGTGCCCCGCGTACGTTGGCCTCGCGACTCGTCTGAGAGGCGCTGCGCTGTCGACGTTGGGCCAGCGAAAGGCGCCCCTCCACCGTTTCATCGCCCTCCGCCGCACTGCCGCGTGTGTCTGAAGTGGGGGACGAGGAGAAGGAGGTAGGGGCGGCTGTTGGAGGGGCGAAACGTGGGGACGCTAGGAGGCGCTGCGCACGCCCCTTCACCCCCCGCACGTGCCGCAGGCGACGCGTGAGTCGCGCCAACTCTCCAATGTGCCGTGCGAGCTCCATTGTTACTATTTCCGACGCTGGCGCCAGGCGGGTACGCACTCACCGGCACGGACACGCAGACACAGACAAGTCAACGTTGTAAACGAGGAGGAGAGAAGAGGGAATAAACAGATAGTTTCTTTTCTGCTTGAAAGAAAGAAAGAGAAAAAAAAACGCTTCTCCGACAGCGTTATGGCATCCAAAGCATACCCGCGTTGAGTGAAACTTGCTGGCGGCTAAACGAGATTCGACACGGAGATCCCGACAGCTACTCCACCTACAAAACAAATCCCCAACAAAGGGATAACGTGAGGCACCTCACGATGGCGCATGTAGACGTGAAAACGAGAGAGAGAGCAGAAATGGAAAATGTGAAAATACGGAAACCGAATAGGGAGCGAGAGCGAGAGAGTTGAAAACGCCATGCACGCACACATGTAAGACAGGGGCGAGAAAAGGTAAATGGGAAGGCCCTTTGCAGCGCCAACACAGCAACAGAAAAGCACACAAATATTTCCATTATTGACACCGTATCCACTGCTCAGACAAGCGAGTGCTCAAACTGCTGCTTCTTCACGAAAACAGTCGACTCACAAGAAGCGGAAACAGTCACCCCTGATTACTCTGTACTCTTCGACTTCCGTTACACAGGCAATACTTTTTTTTTGAAAATGATTTCAGTCCTTTCAACAGGTTTGAAAAAAACCGGGACAATGGTTTCCTACGAAGATGAGAGAAGTGCATGCAGTGGAATAACAGGAAACCGCACGCTTCATCGACGTATTCCCTTTCCAAAGAACCATAAAAAAAAACCTGAAGCAATTGGAGCCAAGCCGGTCTCTAGAGGTGCGGGAGACAACGAGGACAGGAAAACCCCCTGATTTTCCTGCATAACAAATCTCTGCTCCTCCAAAAAGAGCCATCATTTTCCAAAATAGGGGGAAAACGAGAAAGAGGAATGACGAGTTTCTTCTTCCTTGGTGACGACGTTGGTGCCGTCACCCGCACACCGTAAAACAGCTCACACACCGCAACTGTGAGCAGCTTCTCGGAGGGAAGGAACAAATCCACCCCGCAAAGCAACACGTACTCGCACTCCAGTTGAGAGAAAACACGAAAAAAAGAACGGAACGAAACGAATACCCCCCTCAAAAAAAAAAAAATCCTCTGATCGAGGCAAGCAAAAATGACAACAAAGAATCACCGCGAGAGAAGAAGACGAAGGAAAGATGCATTACCTTAGCGGGCATCCTTGCTCACGGCAACACCACCACAGCCACTACAACCACCACTGACAACAGCACACGAATATCAAGCAAGGAGGCACACCCATACACACACAGGCAAAGCCACCCCCATCTGAAATGTGAGCCGTTTCCCTTTCAAAGGTTGTCGACAAATTTGCCTTCCCTCTTTAACCGATGTACGGAAAAAGGGATAGAGAGGGAGAAAGAATAAGAAGGATAGGAAGTCAAGAGTCGAAGTGATTGCACGGCATTTAGGAAATACATAACTAGCGAGTACCTGGCATCAATGTCCCCATCAAGGCTACTCATTGTTTCTTCACTATCTAGTATCTGCCCCAATTCCGTTCTTCTTTA